TATCAAATTCTCAATAAATTATTTTTAAAAAATTAAAAACTGTGATAAAAGGGCTATTAATTTTAGAATTATTTTAAATTTACAGAGAAAAGTATAACGATAGAGTTCTCAAATGCTCAGCAATGCTGTCCCCTAGTATTGCTTAGGATGTTAACTTTGGGCTGATTAAAACATTTTCATTGTATATATTACTTACACAAAGTCCTCTTACACATCACTAAATTCTTCACACATTCTTTGGAGTCTTACCTATGCATGCTCATACATGTGCATTCATCAGGAAGGCATCCTCAGATAAACATGGGGCTTTTCAAAGCACACCCCTGTGAGAGTTATCCTCCCTACAGAGCCACAAAATGTCCATCCATCTGCAGAAATATGTTGATGTGGCTCTCAGTTTCCTAACTAGCACAGTGATAGGTTTAGAGTAAGTTAGTCACGCCCAAATCATATGTAGAAAAGTCCTGAAGTTTGATGCAGATGCCAGAGACTGTGGGCCTGGGACAGAGTGAAGGTGTTCCCTAACATGTACAGATGCACACACACCAGTCCACTGAATTTCAAATAAGTTTTACTCAAAGACAGGATTCTGCTCCAGTTCTCCCGACATGTTTCAAAGCCACTAGGATTAGATAATGGCTAAGCAAAGTTTTGACTCATTCATTTGTTGAAAAACCTGCTTATTTGTAGAGAGGTGACTTGCTGAGCCTACACGAGGATAGCAGGAGGACTCTTATGCTCCTCTCTACTGCAGGCTGACTGGGGAAACATGTACTTTATACTTAGATCCTGGCAATTTGAAGAGGGAGAAGTTTCCAAGTGACTTATTTCTATTGTTAGCGAACTGTTGGATGACAAGCTTAGACGACTTGCGGAGACACTGAGCAACAGTATTTGCAAGCATGTCGACCAGTGTTTGGGGAACCCATGTTCCTAAAGCTGTCCTCTTCGAATAGCCTCCATACGCTGATGATTTTAATTTTCATATTGAGCCAATATCTACTATAGCCTGTTAAAAAGACCTCCTTCTCCATTACTGTCCTATAATTGAACTGTATAACTACCTAAGTACATTATATTATTGTATTATAGAAAGTAAATTAACTTTTAAGGAGGTTAAAGTGATGCTGAGACGACAGAATGGAAGCCGAAGTTAGAAAACACTTCTCAGCCTTTATCAAGTAATAAACCTATGAACAAGTATCTAGTGGTGCTTCCTGCATTCCAAACACTGAAGGCTACGAAGACAAAAAACGGACTATGTCGACAGCTGTGTGGTGGCTACATGTTCTTCAGAAACACACGTCTGCCATGGACAGGACTGTCAGAAATGCAGGTCTCGTCTCCCAGAATATAGCAAATGCTCAGCCCCCACCCACTTCACACCCATACAGAAGGTGTCTTATGCTGCAAAGCATCAGTGCATAAACCACGCTAAGACCTGGATTCTATTTTCATTAATGTTATTCTAGGATTCAATCTCAGATGATCACAAAACTTCACAGTCTTCCTCAAATAAGTCATCCAGTCATTCAAACTGATCAAATGAACTATTTTTACACAAGTAATAAAAATATAGTTGAAAAGGCTTATAATTAATCAACACTCACCTTTTTCCCCTCCTTCCAAATGTCCATGAGAGCTTATGATCAATAGCCAATGACGCATGGTGTTTTCTTCTGGCATTTGCCTCCATATATTTTCTTTTTCTTTCTTTTTTGGTCTTTTTGAGACAGGGTCTCCCTGTAGCTCCAGCTGTCCTGGAACTCACTACGTAGACCAGGCTGGCCTCGAACTCACAAAGATCTGCCTGCCTCTGCCTCCCCAGTGCTGGGATTGAAGGTGTGCGCCACCACACCTGGCCATATTTCTTTCTTTTTTAAAAAATGTTTCATTAGTTTTATTTTATGTGTGAGTGTATTGCCTGCAGGCAGGTAAGTGCACCTGTGTCGTGCAATGCCCATAGAGGTCAGATGAGGCCGTCAGGTCCCCTGAAACTGGAGTTACGGACAGTTGTTAGCTGCCATGTGGGTGCTGGGATCCGAACCCAGGTCTTCTGCAAGAACAACGCGTGTTCTTAACCGCTGAGTCATCTCTTCAGCCCCTGCCTCCATATACCTAAATAATAAATTTGGCCATTTTTTGTACATAATAGTTTTAGATATTATCTATTGACTTCTAAATTTGTTGATAATTTAGCTGTCTTAAATTACTACTGCCTTTCCACAAACCTCCAAATACATTAACAGAATTTAAAAAAAAAAACCTAAAGT